GGGAAAGCTGCTAACCCAAATTTTTTCCAGTAGAACCTTGCACAAAATTGACTTAGCATCTAAGCTCTAAATGAAAATCTTTTGTTCTACTTATTTAATTAAACTGTTCAATGATTTTAACTAATTTGTGCATACGCATATATAGTGTAACAATATTTTGTCTAACTGGTGAACATTTGACTTTATTTTTAATCTGCTACAAAAAATGAAACTGACCTTGGCTTGTGATGTTGACATACATTCTGTCGAGAATGTCCCTGAACATTTTCTCTGAAGATTAAGAAAAAAGAGCAGAGAGGAGGGGCAAAAAGACTCTGCTCTGAATCTGTTGAGTTCTATTTTACAGTGTTGTCCAGATTGTGCTTTGAACAGCATGATTGTAGAAAATCAGTGTAAGAATGCGATTTATATTCTTCTGCAATTTCTGAAGAAACTTCATTCTTAGCTTGAAGTGTCACAGAAAAACTGCTGATAATCACTGAGCAAGGTTAGTATCAATCAGACTTTCTGAAAATGACTGTTTCAAAACAAGTTTCCTAACAAAATGGAAACTCTCTCATAAAATGTCTATTTTAATAAGGTAGTTTAATAAAATAATTTAGCATTGAATCAGTAAGTTACAGTTCATAAATATTATTCATTTTTCTTTCTTGCATATCTTTCTAAAATATCCTTTCTGATTCATTCAGTACAGGGTTATTGGGGTCAACTATTCTATTGTATTTAAGGGATTAATAATATATTCTACAAATAACTTAACCTAGAGGTAGTATTTGATAAATGTATCCTCATGCCTTTTTCAAAGAAAGTATTTTTCCTTTAGAAGGTCTAATGTCAGCATTGTCCTGAAGAAATTTTTTGGAAAATTTTCTTGTATTCCTTCCAAGGAAAATTTTTTTAAAAATCTGCTTGTATTAGACATGTAATTATATTTCCTCTTCCCCCCAACCTCTATTCCTAACCTAAATTGAACATATTATGGAAAGATGATGAGGTATCTTTTGGCTATAGCTGAAATGGAGGATGATGTCTGGTGGAAAGCTATGGAAATGCTAGAAATGTTAATGGGTACAAATTGTGAAGGGCCCGTCACTGGTGCCAGATTGCAATGCTCGATTATTTGGGATGAATACATGAGGCTTAGTTTGGGCTTAGTTTGGGTGGCATAGGCTGGGTGACATAAATAACAAATGTTTATTTCTCACAGTTCTGCAGACTAGAAATCTGAGATAATGGTGTCATATAGTTGGATTCTGGGGAGAGGCCTGGCTTACAGGACTCCTTGTACCCTACTCCTTGTAGTTTCATTTGGTAGGAAAAGCAAAAGCTCTGTTCACTAACTCTTCTTATAAAGGTATTCATTATATTCCTAAAGGCTCCACCCTCATGATTTGATTATGTTCCACCTCCAAATACCACTACAATGGGAATTAAGGCTTAAATATATGAATTTGGGGGAAACATAAGCTTCAGTCCACCACAAACAGCAACTTCAAGATTCACCTTGTTTTCCTCCAATATATTCTCCTCCTAGGGATGCGGGGCATCGTTTCTTCTTCTTTATGTCATCCCCGCACTGCTTGGCAAAGAAAGCTTCTTTCTTTGTTGTTGGGTTTTTATTTACCAAATGGCTACCACTATCAGAGTTTCTGCCGCTCAGATTAGTTTTACTCTGAACAGAACAGAGATATTGGAAGGGCAGAGGAACAGCTATTATAGTTATACAGGAAAAGTCCAGCTTTACCTGACTTCCTGAACTTGAAGAACAAGGCACTGCCAGCTTCCCACCTTCCTCTTGCAGCAGAGTTGCTAAGGCCCTTTTCTTAGCCCATAGTCCAAATTTTTATTAAGGACCTCTTCTGTGTTATGTGCATGGGATGCAGCAATAAACAACAGAGTGGATTCCTTCTGGAAACACTTAAAAATTTCAAGATGCTTAGACCTGTTTTAAATATTACTGAAGAGACAATAGTTTCTTTTGTAAATTTGTTGTTTAAAAAGAAATTTATGCTTACATTTTAAAAATATTTTAAAAATAGATAAAACTGTTACTACCCTGCATGATATATTTATATTATTTTTGACTAAATAAAAGCAAATGTTAGCATCATATTCTATCTTTGCAAGCCATAATATATGTGAGCGAAAGTGGTTCTTAGAATGGAGTGCTGTACTGGTTTCAAATCTTAAAGTATTAGTTTGCGGTCTTCCCACATGTAACCGTTTTACTAAAATTATTGTGGCTAACCTTATTCTTGAATGCAGCTTGTATAAAGTCCCAAAATCGTGGTCTTAAATATCCTTTTGAATCGTTATCTGTACATAGTATTGTATTGTTGACTTAAATAACTTGAGCCAAGCAAAAGTGAATGAGCTTATTGAAGAATCAAGTCTGCAGGCACAGAAAGCTGTCCAACTTCTGTGCCTTTAATGAGAATTTTATACAGTCTGCAACGAGAACATTTTACATTTCCAAGAATTTTTACAGAGAAAGCTGGGGCAGGTGTCCGGTTAATGTCTCTATTTGATGTTATCTATGCATTGAGGAATACGTGGATGGTTGTTAAAATTTACCCTATTTAGAGCCTTATTTTCGGGGAACTGCGGTTTTAGCAATGTCATAAACCTAGAGGTCTTTCTTTGAAGTTACTAATTTGCCCAGAGACAACTTTTGTTGTTATTGGGCTCAGATTCTTTGCAAGGCCAGTCCAGCTGTGCCTTGGCTCCTTGGCTTGCTCCCCTTCAGACGAGGGAGAGGGGTAATTTGTTAGCTGTTGCCTTTACAATTCAGATTGTAAAATTAGTCTTCCATTTTTATATAGAGTAGTTTTACTCTTTTTGAGTACGTTGGTGGGGAATTCAGTAATCACGAGTAAGTTTTCTGTAAGCCTAAATTTAAAGCAATAACGCTCCAAGCGAAGACAACACAGAAGAGAGTGTGCAACTTTTAAGTTTATTTGGCAGAATATGATTTTATTTTCATGACACAAACTAGGGAACGTGAAGACGTCAATGTCAAGACATCTGCGAAGACAGTGGTTTTCATCCTAGTCGACGCAGAAGGGTGGAGTGGGGGGTGTGTGAAGAGGTTGGGGACTTTACACCTTAAAGGTGGATGTGAGTTTCAATGAAGTTAGGAAAACGTGGTTGTGGGTTTGACAGTCCTTGGCACAAGACGTGTGCGCTTGACCCGGTTCTGCGGGAGCCTGGAAGGCTGCGTCTGGAGAGGTGCACAACACAAGGTCACCCCCTCTTAAGGCGCCCGGGCGAGGGTGGCTCTGCCGTGCAGGGTGATGGCACCGAGCGGATGGTGAGGTGGCGAGCGGGCGCCGAGCCTCACGCTGGGCCCGGAGTCAGTGCGCGGCGGCCCAGGGGGGAAGCCCGGCCTTGGCGCGGCACTGCCAGCGGCGGCCGAGGCCAGGCCTCTGTCAAGGTGCGCTGGGCGCCCGCCCGGGGTGAGCTGAAATCCCCGCGTGAAGAGACGGGAGCCACAGGCGAGCGGCGCGGGCTCCTCCCCCGGCGCCTCCGCCGCCTGGGTCAGGACGCTGCGGCCGCGGCGCCGGACTTCAGCCTCGCGGGCTCCGGGGCTGCTCTCCGCCCGCTGCTGCTCTCCCGCCCGGCCCGCCCGCAGGTGCCCGGCCTCCCACCGCAGACAGGCCCGGGGAAGCAGGTGCGTGCGGCGGCGGGTGGGCCGCGCGGGAGGGCGAGGCCGCCCGCGGAGGGGGGGGAACGAGCGGCGGGGGGCACTTCCGGCGGCGCCACTGCACTTCCGGGTCGCGCTCGCCGCTCGCTGCGCTGGTCCCGTCCGGGCGCGGGCCGCGGGGCTGCCCCGGCGCCCCCCTCGGAGCCGGCGCCCCGGGAGCTCCAGCCCAGCTGGTCGCCGGTATTTCCGCGCAGGCCGCCCGTTGTGGGGTCCGTGGGGGGCAGGCTGCGGACTGCTGAGGCCCGGGAGGTCCCTGCACACCCCAGAGAGCTTCTGCCAGACGCACTTGCCCGCTCCTCACTTGGATCCCAGGGTCTTCACTCTCCAGCAGACGTTTTTGTTTTCTTTTGCTCTTACTCAGATTTCCTAACTTTCGCACAGAAAGACCTGATTTTCAGTGCGACAAGTATATGCAAATAAGCCAAACATCAGGGAGCCCTACATTTAATGATCAATTATAAAATAGGGAAAATGGAAACTGTGGAACCAAGCTTAGCTGAGGTTTCGCCATTTTGTATATCCTCCACCTTGATATGTTAGTCCTTGTCCTGCCGCATTCCGGAGATAGTTTCAGCAGTCACAACCCTCACTCCACTTGGTGACGAAAAAGCAGACCACCCCAGCCACCAATGAGGGCAGTCCTGTCCATAAATGGGACAGCATCTCTAACCGTCCAATCAGTTTGAAACTGTAACCGCGCGCGCCCAAAGTGCCTTTGTAGTAGCCAATGAATAATTGCCAACTTCTTTCAAAGTTCCCGCCACTCGCGACCCTATAAGATGTCCCAGCTTCCTCTGTTCGGGGCTCTCGACCTCTGCCGTTGCATCGGTGCGTGTTGAGGGCCCGGTCTCGAGCCCGTATTAAACTCCTTTGTGCCCTTGCATCGGTTGTCTGTGTCCTTGGGGGCTGCACTGGTCGACGTGGGCACAACAGAAACCTGATGAAATATGAGGGGTAGAATTCACTTAGAAAGTATCACGTTAAGCAGGTCTTCGTGTGCAATCCGATCACTGATTCAAGGCTTCAGAATAATTCTCCTGGGAAACGTAAACTTCAGACCCGTAATGTTCCTTTTCCCTCCCTGCAAAAAAATTTTTACATTGCTTGAGTTTGTATTTCTCCCTAAAAATCGCTGATGAATTAAGTGGCTAATAGATGGTAGGTATATGCTGAAAAAGGTTACAGTTACTTGGTAAAACATGATGTTTACATCTAAAACACTTGAAAAATAATTTTTTGTAAGTTAATTTTTCATGACAGTTTCTACAAAGGAATCATGTAAAATTAGAGTCCAACATTTTGATGATTTATTATTTCAGTAGAATTTTTGGCTCTCTGGCAATAACCTTTATGTTTTACACATTAATTTTAGATGCCAATAATTTATATTGAAGTGTCTCATTTTCCACTGTTATTAATGCCTTACAAATGTAAACTTTTAATAGAAATGATACTTAGAATCAGATTACCTTGTCCTTAGATTTTTTAAAGTCACGTTTTATACTAAATTACAACTTACACTTTAACTTGATAGTTTATATGTTACAACATAAATAATACAACCTTTGAAATTATACTGCAAGCTAGCAAATGTTCTGATTTATTACTTTCCTACACTACTGTTTCTCACAAGAGATGGTTTTTAAATGATTAGCCGAGAAGCACATTCATTTTATACTGACAGAAAACTCAAACATAGCTTGACTTTGAGTTAGTCTGTAATTGCAGTTATGTAAAATAAGTATCTGCTGCATTGATTCTGGGTTTTTTCCCAGTTGATTTTCATAGTTCTGAAGTCATCCTTCAACTCTGAACACCTCTGCCTAGTCAGCATTCTCCTGCGTCTTCATCCTTCAGCAGTGTATCTGGGAGTCTGATGACCCTGGGTAGATGACTTGACAACTGTGTGCCTGTGTTAGCTTATCTGCAAAATAGAGATAATATGCTTCATAAGGTCATTTGGAATTGGAATAATTCCTAAGGAAAAGGTCTAACTAAATTTGATACTCTTTCCCCCTCCCTGTTTAAACCTGGTACTATCTCAGGGATAACATCACCTTCCTAGGTAGATTTTTTACTTCCATTTATTTACTTATTAAATGAAAAGCTAGACTATGTCTTTTTATGAATGTGAAGTTCAAGGAAGCCCCAGCAGGAATAGCCAAGAAAGCAATTAGAATAGGAACATTCCTTTTAATATATCCCCAAATCAGCATACGACTATTCATTAAGGATTAAGGATTCAGCATATGAATATCTTTTGGGGAGGGAGAAACAAGATAATCAAACTTGATGTATGATTATTAGATGAGATCCCAGTGTAAGTCATGGGCATATAGTGAGTTTTCTTATATCTATGCCTTTTTGTAATTACCTTTCAAAATTATTTAGTGTGCTAGAATTTTTTTTGTGGAAATAAAATTGAGCAACTAATAATAATTACCTACAACTTCAGTTGAAATATAAATTGATCCAAATGTACTGCTTGGTGTATCTCCTGGATAGGATGGGAGTAGATTAATGGTTAGACTTACAGTTCATAGTTTTACTAATTAAGTAAAAATACTTTGGCTTAAAAACATTGATAACAGGTAAACTACCCTGAAGATAGACAAATCAGATTGAGCAAACAGGCATTTACTGGAGCCCTGAATTAAGAGAAGTCTTAATTCTCTTAGGTATAATATTCACCAATACCTGCGACAATTTCTCAGAAATTATTATTTTAAAATCACTAGTCTTTGTTTACATTTTATGAATATCAAATAGAATATTTCCTGTGTTCAATGCATAGAGTCTATTGCTCAGGAATCTAAAGAGAAATCTTTCATGCAATCTTCTTGAAATTAGATGCTTATTTCTTACATACACTTCCATGTGAAACATCACATATAATTGTCCATGTAGAATGCAAGAAACAATAATGCTTTGTTTGAGTATTTGAAGTCATAGAATAAGCCATTAGAAGCCACATTTCAAGTAAACAACAATTCAGAATTTTCATCTTTCCAATACTCTTTCCCCATTTTCACTCTCAGCTGTTTATTTTGCTTCTGATTTCACTTAAAACAATGAAACCACCAAAGAGAATTTTCATAAGCTGCTAGCATCATATCTACCCACCTTCCTGAATCTGCTTGTGTAATCTGCCTTTTTCTTTCATTACTATGGATGAATGGTTCTGCTTCTTTACATGTCTTGTAAGTTTTGGCTGGATGATCAACATACTGATTTATGTTTTGAGTTCAGGATTTTGTTCTGTTCCTTTAAAGAGGATTGGACTACTTAATGGCACTTAAAATTGGTTTGATCTTTTGGAGGCTCATTTTTAATATATATGTAGGTCAAGTCTAAATAGTTTTTTTTTAAAGATTTATTTATTTATTTATACAAGCACTGGGTACAGTCAGAAGTGCGGGAGGGTGAGAGAATTCGCCAGAGCCAGAGCAGGGAACAGAACAGTCAGACGGACGAAATACACTGCTGAGGGGAGCAGCGGGTGCAGCAGGACCCTCCTTGCCCGAGGGCTGGGGATCAAACTGGCGCTGCAGAGGCTGCGGGCAGCGCTCAACCGCTGCGCCACCAGGGGAGGCCCAAGTCTAAATAGTTTTAACCCTAGGGTTCATTTAACCCCATTACCAAGGCATTACCTTTCTGAGGTCTCTACTGAAAGTCTCATGTATTTTACAAGCGCTCTCTGGTGGCTGGTGGGAACTTGAATACTTCCTAGTTCTTTGTAATCTTTTTGAATGGTTCAGATTATAGCTCCCTGGTAATTGCTCTTTCCCTGAAGATTGTTCTTTGTCTGGCCTTACAGGGTTTCTCTTTCTTTATGTGCAGGCTGGTATTCAGCTAAAGATTCAAGGCGATCCCTATGCATATTTCTAGAGTTAATTCTCCTTCATTTTTAGTAGCAGGCTGCACAAATTCTAGGTGTTTTAGTTTCTCTGCACTCTGATCTCTGAACTCTGATCCCTGAACTCTGATCCATTTATCTCAGTGAGTCTACCAGGCTCTGTTTGTTTTTCCCTTTCCTGTGCCATACTCCAGAAATTGCCTCCAGTTGGAAATCTGGAGAGATAACAGGACTTAATATTCATTTGTTTCCTTTTTCTCAGTGATCATAGATGATATTGTTGTAATAATCTATTCCTTGAGAAGGTGTTAGGAAAAACGAGCTTCCCTCCCCACCCAAAAAAAAAAAAAACTTGCAAGTTTAATTTTTTATAATGGACAGTTTTCTATTATTTGTTACATTTCTCCCAAATTGCTAATATAATTTAACACAGATGTTTACCTACTTAAAAATATGGATTAACAATGGGAAAATAATTTTGGGTACTTCAAAGTTTGTAAAAAAAAGTCTCATATTTTACTCTAATTACAAAAATTTGTCATAGTACTAATATTGCCATTCTAAAATCTCATAAGAGTGCTTTACATTATTATTTTCCTTTAATGATTTTCTAACTTTAAGAACAGAGATAAGTAATAAAATTAACTAAGATGGAATATACTAAAGAAAGATTATGCTGTATATGGTTAAAGTAACTCAATTTATATGGAATTAGATGGGCCAAAATTTGGGCCTTGAATGCAAAAAGATGACAGCCCAAAAGGAGAAAGGAGTCAAAAACTGACTTTTTGTTATTACTTAAAATTTGAAAGAAAATAAAAATATTTATATTTCAGAAATAGAAATGTGTAGACCAGAGGAATTCTGGATCAGAGCAAAGAAGATATGTTACAAACTTGCCAGAGCTCCTTAATATATTTTATATTCTAAATCCCTTGACTTTTAAAAAAATGTTTTCTGTCACTCTAAATGTAAGTGCAAATGTAACTAGATGCTAATAAGCAACAATTTCTCCATCGCCTTCCTTAAATATTAGATAAGATCCAGGTATCTATACACTGATTAATTTTATATAAATGAAAGGTTCAGACACAGTTAAGAATTTGAATTCTTAGTTTTTTCACAAATGTATAGTGATTTTTCCTCTCTCACACCTTTAATAAATACATGGTAAAGAGTATGGTTCAGAACAGTCATGTAGAATACAGATTCTAAATTCAGGGTAAAACTTTAGACATCAGTGATATTTTTAAAGTAAATATTTTTGTTGGGTCACATACATTATAGAGGCAAGTACTCATAAAATATTTTAGGGGGGGGGGGGGCGGGAGGGGAGGGATTGGGGTCAGAATGGGGGGTTTGCAATTGTATGGAGGAATATAAAAATAAAATTTATTATTTAAAAAAAATAAAAAATTAAAAAAAATATTTTAGTTTATGATTTAGTATTTATCAAGTTCTCTTTTTTTATCATGTAGATGGGCCTGGCTTCAATTGATAAACAAAGCTCTAATTTTGTCTTAGGCAAAGCCAGAAACAATATTCATTCACACTTATGCTTTTCATTTTAGAAACAAAAAGCAAGCCATGCCTCATTCCACAAACAAGGAACTGATCCTCGGCATAATGGTGGGAACTACTGGAATCAGCTTGCTGCTTTTGTGGTATCACAAGGTTCATAAGCCAAGGATGGCAATGAACATGCCTAACTTTCTCTCTCTGGGCAATACACTGGATTCCATCGCTTTTCAACATGAAATGCATAATAGTCAAGGAACAGCAGCGATATTTCAAAGAAGACAACTTCAAATATTAGAAAAGTTAAATGAAGTACTGAAGAATATGGAGGAACTCAAGGAAGAGATCAGAGTTCTTAAGGAAACCGTTCCAAAGCTGGAGGAATATATACAGGGTGAACTTGGAGGGAAGGTAACAGTTCATAAGATAAGTCCTCAGCACAGAGCCAGAAAAAAGAGGCTGGCCACAGTTCACAGTTCAGCAACAAGTAATAGTTCAGAAGAAGCAGAAAGTGAAGGAGGGTAAGTTTCTTTAAGATGTTTCCCATGTTGACTATTCATTGCCTAATTGCTATTATTTAGGTACTTTCATTATGCATTTCTATTCATATATTTCTACTACTAACAAGACATAAAAAGGAGTCATTATTTTGGTTTACATTATAATTAAAACCATATTCAGTAGTGGTTAATATCTGAGGTAATTTACACTGTATAGACAAAAGGAATGTAAATAATAGGATTAGCGGTATCATGTAAGTTTTGAGGAAAACGGTAACTATTTGCCAAAACGAGTAACCTGTTTTTAATTGTGTCTGTGTCCAATGGAACTTTCCATGATGACGGAAAAGGTCTCTATGTATTGCCCTGTACGGTAGCCACTCGCCATATATGATTGTGATGCTCTTGAAATGTAGCTAGTGCACCTGTGGAACTGAATTTTTAATTTATTTAATTGTAATTAATTTAAATCTAAATAACTAGATGGGACTACTGAATTGGGCAGCATAGACCTAAAATGATTTGAGAATATGTAAGGATTCAGTTTTTTCCTCACAGGATAGTACATTGGATTCAAAAACCAAGAACATAAAAGCAAGAACACATTTTTGGAGAAAAATAAATGATTTATGAATAAAGAAAATGTGCCTACCTTGTTTTGAGGAAAAAGTGGCAAATTAGTAAAAAAAAAAAAAAAAAAAAAAAGCACTAGTAAATATGACACAGCCTGAAATTCTTAAGGGCAAGGACCCTATGTTTTCATTATTGTATTCCTAATGATGTAATCCTTATGCCTAATACCTTATGCCTAACCCTGAGTAGATACCAAATATTTCCTGAATGAATGCATGATCTGCTACATTACATTGGGATTGAAGAAGAAAGCTGGAGTAGAAACAAAGGGTAGAGATAAAATGGAGATTTCAAAGATTTGGAAATGTAAACAATTCATCAGATGTTGGACTAAAATCACTTAGCATCATTATATATGAGTCAGAGAAATAACTTCTCACCAATCTTTCAGAAAGAGGCACAAATGATACATCTCAATAACAGGAAGATCTTAAAAATTTGTGTTCATGAAGAAAAGAAAGTTGTAGATTGTATTCAAAATAGACAATGACATAATTGAAAGGAATCTAAAGTAGTTCTAAATGAGAACTGGAACTTAGAAAAAAGAAATTAATTATTAAGGGTATGAAAAACAACAGTAAGATAGAAATCCCAATGTAACATTGAGAGTTTTGAAGATGAGTGTATGGTTATCTTATCTTTCTGTAAATTAATCTAGTGACTAATCAGAGGAGACCCATAGACTAAGAGGGGAGAGGGCAGCCCTCTGTAGTGTAGACCAATAAAGGCCAAAAAGATGAATGGCCTTGGATCAAAAAGACCCTCTTTAAGTTGAACACAGACTTGTTTAACATTTTTTAAAATTTCAGAGAGGGGACTTTTGATAAGTTTAGGACAAATAAGAAGCAGATAATTATGGAACCTAATTACTTTTAAGTAATGGTATGAACAAATTGTTTATGTGGGTTCAAGAAGGATTTGTAAGATTTATGAATAACAGTCACATAAGGTTATTAAGAAAAACTAAACATATTGAAACTTTAACATTGATGTCAACAAGATGGTAATAGAGGAGGTTCTTTGCTTTGCTTTCAAGAGGAATATTTAACAATTAGCGAGAAAGAGATGCCACTCTGAGAATCCCACAGCACAGAGTGAGGCTGAACTAACCCCTGCACCACAGCAACTACCACACACTAAGTAGAGGGGCGTCAGCAAGATCCAAGCACAGGTGTGATGGACAATGGGTGGAAATATGTAGAGTTGGCAGTGCAGGGCAGGAGACACTTCGGGCAGGGTACCACCCACCCACAGCCCTTGGGAGGAAAGAGTAGACACTATGGAGCTGCATGCCCTTCGCACAGGTGAAAGCCCATGGGAAGAAAACAGGTTCTCCGCAGGGGCTGAGATCCCAGCAAGGAGGAGAGCAGAGAAAGCAGTCTAGAATGCAGCCCCCACTGCAGCTCTCAGAACCTATACGGACATGGTGAGGTGCACTCACAGCAGAGCACTTAGTCTCAGTTCTGGGACTACAGAAAAGAAGGTTATCAGAGGTTTCACAAACATGATCCTGATCCCCTTTCTAATATGTTGCAACAGTGACTGTTCCTCTTCATGTCCTTCCCCTACCTCGCTGACACAACAACTTGTAACACTGGCCTACAGAAACCTGCTGGGGCCAATCCTAATAATAACAACAATAATAACAATAATAACAACAACAACATAAAAGTAAAGCCACAGACCACCTACTGCTAAATGGGAATTTGACTCCAACAGCAAAGGAAACAAAAATAAATAAATGGGATTACATCAAACTAAAGAGCTTCTCACAGTGAAAGAACAAATCTGCACCAAAACAAAGACACCCTATTAAAATGGGAGAAAATGTTTGCACATCATGTCTGAAAAAAGACTAATATCCAAAATATGTAAAGAACTCATAAAGCTGAACAACAACAAAATAAAACCAGACAGCCCAATAAAAAAATGAACAGAAAATCAACAAGCAACTATAAACCAGAGACACACTACAGCGGGGGACAAGGGAGTAGGATCAAAACAAGGGTGGTGGAAATTTTGCAGGGACTATAACCAAGATGAAAATGCATACGTTGTACAAAAATGAAAAATGCTGTAAAAGATATATAAAATAAAATAAATGAATAGAGATGTGAATAGACACTTTTCCAAAGAAAATATGCAGATGGCAAATAGGCACTTGAAAGGTGTTCATCGTCTCATTATTAGGAACAGACAACAATCTCACAAAAAAAGGGGAGATAAATGATAGATTGCTATAGTGAGAATCATCCTTGGCCCTCATATTCTCCTGCACATCTTGTTTGGTGTGCCGAGAATATAAGATCCTAACTACACTTTATGTCCTTGATATTTAAAAATTAATACTTTAGTTAGAGCAGTTTTCATTTTCACAGCAAAATTGAGGGGAAGGTATATAGCGAGAGCTCATATGCCCCTACCTCCACACATGTACAGATAGCCCCCTTCCAATCCTGTACCAAAGTGGCACATTTGTTAGAACTGATGCACTTACAATGTACAACACACCATAATCACCCAAGTTTACATTCTGCTCCAAGCTGGGTGTGCATTATACGGGTTTTGATAAACATGTAATCATAGTATTTATCATATGGTATCTACAGAATATTTTCATTGCCCTAAAAATTCTTGTACTCTGCTTATCATCCCTCCTACTGACAACCTCCTACCCCCACCACTGACCTTTTTACTGTCTCCATAGTCTTGCTTTTTCTAGAATGCCATATCCTTGAAATCATAAAGTATGTAAAGTAGGCTTTGACTTAGTTATATGCCTTTAAGTTTCCCCCATATATTTTCATGGCTTGATAGCTCATTTCTTTTTTCACATTGAATAATATTCCATCATCTGGATACATCACAATTTATTTATCCATGTACCTACTGAAGGACATCTTGGCATTTTGCATGCCTGCAAGTTTTGGCAATTATGAAGACAATTCTATAAACATTTTTGTGCAGATTTTTGAGTGGACATAAGTTTTCATCTTATTTGGGTAAACATCCAGGAGTGTGATTGCCCGATCATATGGTAAGAATATGTTTAGTTTTGTAAGAAACTGCCAAACTCTTCTACAGTGGCTGTATCATATGCATTCTCATCATCAATGAATGGGAGTTCCTGATGTTATACATCCTCACCAGCATTTGGTGTTGTCAGTGTTCTGGATTTTAGCTATTCTAAATGGTATATAGTAGTTATCTCTTTGTTGTTTTAATTTGCATCTCCCTGATGACATATGATGTGGAACATCTTTTTGTTGTTTATTTGGCATCTGTGTTGTCTTTGGTGAGATATCTGTTAAGGTATTTCACCCATTCTTAAACCATGCTGTTTGTTTTCTTATTGTTGGTTTGAAGAACTCTTTGTATGTTTTGGATAATAGTCCTTTATCACATGTGTTTTTGCATATATTTTCTCTCAGTCTTTGGCTTCTCGGTCTCTTGACATCATTTTTCACAGAAAGTTATCAATTATTTCCTTTCATGGATTGTGCCTTTGGTGCTTGCATCTAAAACATCATTGCCATAACCAGGTTTATCTGGGTTTATGTCTATGTATCTTTAAGTAGTTTTATAGTTTTGCATTTATGTCTGTGATCTATTTAGTGTTATTTTTGTGAAGGGCGTAATGGTCTGTGTGATCCCTCTTTAGCCGGGTCATTTCTCATGGTTGTGGTGAGAAACATTGAGGAATAAGATAATGTTTCCCTCCAGGGCCAAGAGCAGGCTTAGAATATTTACTTACTGCTTGCTATAAAAGTAGTAGATTCCCTAAGCTTAATGTTCTTTTTTGTGTGTGATACTACTAACCATGAATGCAAAACTCTCTATGTCCTCTGCATGAACCTTGCGGGACCTGAAGCCAAGGAGAACCAATGTAATATGCTGGTGATCACACTGCTTGATATGCTTGTGAGTAATAAAGTTCTCTGTCTCTGACCTAATAATTGTGTATCTTCTGTTAGTATCCAGGAAACAGTAACAGATTAATTTATTAGCTTGTATATAGTGTAAAATCAAATTGCAAATTAACAATTGTATGGTGGGAATTAAAGAGCTTTAGGCCTCTAAAAAGGAATTTAAGAGATTCCCAAAGGATACCCCAAAGTAGGATACTGAGAAATCAAACTTGTATTTGGGTTGTGTTTTATGCATAGGTGTGTTTATACATACCTGTTGTATGGATGGTGCTCCAAGTTGATTTGGAAAAAGAGAGAGCAGTATTTCCTTTGTAATAATTCTGTTAACCTTGCCTGTTAGTGGGTTTAAGTTGTTTCAAGGGGCCGTGAACAATGGCAGAGCAGATCTTCATGATCTGTGCTTGTGGCCCTTCCAGTCCAGTGACACACTTTACCGCTGACATCGATGAAACTTGTTTCATTTGGGAGCATCTATGCTTTTTTTCCCTTTCCCTTTTCAATGTATCTTTGGACCAAAGTTTGTAACAATCATTTTTCCTTACCACTGGATGGTGTAAAAACCTGAAGTAAAGAGGGTTCAAGTGAAAGAAGAAGTTACTAGACCAGGGGTGTGGAGAGCAACTTGTGAGAGAATCGCAAGTTAAGGTTTATGCAGATATCACATATGTCATTGCCTTCATCCTGCTGTTTTCTCACCCTTTGATGTGTTGGCTGACTCTGAACACAGTGAAGTCAGAATATGCATCCCATAGTCAAGAGCTTTTCAACTTTACAGAAAGGGGAGCGACTGAAGAATTTTATTCTAAGCTGATGTCATTAGATTCTAGAGTCTGCTCTCATCACATTCTGTGCTATTGCCATGCTAATTCCACATACAATTTAAGCATTCAGTCTTCTGACCCATTCCACCTACACAGGGCATTTTTATGACTTAAAGAAGATGGCTTAGAGAAGAGGGGAGAGATCTATTTTTTGTTAAATTCAGTATGGGAAAATGCTTAAGGTAAGCCTTTAAGAAGAAAAACGCCTTCTCTTTATGTTTCATGTGCTAATGAATATTGACATATTCATAGACCAAGCTTTAATGCTTCCTTCAGTTTCCTACGATAACTGTTCCCTGAATTATCAGTTGAGATAGTCTCTCCAGAGAGGTTCTGCCTCATCCACGGTTAATATTGTAAAATGCATTAGTCAACAAAATATACGTTTATTCTGTTTAATTCTTTTCAAATAGGAGTTTAATAGTCTGGAACAGATAGTATTACTATTTTTAAAACAGGAAGTTCTACCTTTTCCTTCTGGGGACCCTTTAGTTCTGAAGCACTCACATTATGTTTTCCCTCCATTTTCTTTCTTCCTTTTTCTGTGAGTCTTCAACTTATCTTCCCCAGGATTATGAGACTGGGCAGGTACTGTGTAGATAATTAGAGATTTTTTTTTTTTTTTTTTTACATAGGCATTCTTTTATGGGCTCATCTGTGTGACCATCAACTTCCCCTGCCATAATTTTCTTATTCTGTATTGTTTCCATAATGATAAGGTGGATATTATTCTTCAGGAGGTTTGGAAGCTCCCTATTTTTTTCCTCATTTGACCCTTTTCTCACTCTAGCTGCTGCAAACAGGACTGGAGCTTCCGACGAAAGCATCATGCAGACCAAGTTACTTCAGACCCACAGCCCGGAGCCCCTTCTAAAACCCATTCAGCCAAACCTTCTCGTCCTAAAAAAACCCATCGACCTCCTTCAAGGCGTAAAGACAATTCAGCTAAAAGAAATGAAGTTTTATCTTCTTCAGATATATCTACTAGTTTATCTTTTTCTAAAAGAAGACGTTCTTTATCTCTTAAATTTCAGAAAAGCAATGCTTACCTTCGTGGTCGACAAAGTAGAGCTAACTTTGAGTCTCAAGGAAAAACAAGCTTTGGTGATTTAAAACCCTCACGCTTCTTCAGTTTCAAATCCCTAAGACTGCGGTCTAGCCCTAGACTAAGTATGGTTACTTGTTATGAGGACTCTAATAATTTTGATTTTCAATCAAGTAGTCAGAACACATTTTTTCTGAGTGAAATTGAAATCATTTCTAGAAACTCAAGAATTGCTGATGTTCGAAGATACACGAGTTCTTTTCTTCCTGAATATAGCACTATGCAATTAACGATTGAAACAAGAATTAATTACTCACCCCAATGGACTTCTATAGAGAAAACCACCTATCAACAAGACAAAGCAACCTTTAATTCTCTCCCAACTCTCAGTAGCTTTTCCGATGAGCCAAGTGGAATTCTCTCTGAGGATGAAGAAAGAGACCAGATAAGGAAAGATTCCCTTCATTTTGATTCTCAAAGGCGTGGTACAAATTATTCTACGGCTTTAATTCAACAGCATCCTTCTCAACGTGTAATTTCTCCTCTTCTTAATGTTGGATTTTCTTCCTTTTATAAAAATGGTAGTTGCTTTACCCCATCTCAAAATAACATCATCTCAGTTCCCTTTGAAGTTGAAAAATTGAGATCTCATCTTAAGATGAAGGCAAATCTTCACCTATTAAAATTCCTAAATAAGGTCTCCTCAGACTTTATCCTCTCTGAGAAGGCATCTAAAATCAGAGATTATCTCAGACGTAACGACTGTAGTCTAGAAATCTTTACTTGGTTCTCATAGCAGTCTCTTTCCTCATAAGCTTTACTGCATTTTCTCAAAAGATCTCTATGTTGCAGTCTAAATTTAACTTCAATTGCTGTATTTTTTGAAAGATAGTTTATTATACATTGGACATCCTTCTGATTTTTAAGGAGAATGCTTCTAATGTTTCCTCATTATTGAGTGTGAAATGTATTATAATTTTGGGTATCTAACCTTTATCAGGTTTAGAAATCCTCTTCTATTCCTTGTGTGTGGATTTGATATTTCTGTTGTCCTGAAATGGTATTGAATATTATTGAAAAGAATTTTTGGTAACCACTGAAATAATCATATAGTTTTTCTCACTTTGTTGAACTAGAGAAATTGTCTTATATTAAACTGTGCTGTATTTCCTGGGATAAACTCAATTTGGTTATGATGATGCATTCTCCCTTGTTTGATACAGTTTTATTAAGGAGTGTTACACTTATGTTTATGTGTGAAATTGGTATATAATTTTTATTTCTTATGCTAACCTTGTTTGGTTTTGTCTCAGCTTTTCATAAATGAACCGAGGTTGTTTCCTCTTTTTTAATTACTAAAAGAATTTGAGTAAGTCTGAGTATCTGGATAGTTCATAGATTTCACTATAAAGCTATCTGTGTTCTCTCTCTGTTGTCATGCATATGTGGGTGTGAATGTGGGTGTCTGTCTCTGTGTGAATAAATATAACTTCTGATTTGATTTATTTAATGGTTATGGAGTATTCAAGTTTTTATTCTTTGTTCTCATAAAATATAACATTTTTGTTGAGATACTATTCATGCACCATAAAATTGACCCTTTTAATGTATATAGCTTGAAAGTTTTATTCACAGAATGGTGTTGCTGTCACCGCTGTCTAATTTCCAAACCCTTTCATCACCCCACAATGAGACCTTGTACCCACTCCCTATCTCCATCTCTAGGCCCTGTCAACCATTAATCTGCTATTTCCATGGTTTGTTTCCCTGCCCCTGCCCATGTCATAAGATGAAGCAATGCAGTATGTGACCTTTCCCTTAGCATAATGTTTTCAAGGTTCATTCATGTTGTATCATGCATTCTTCTTCGGGTTTTTTTTTTTTTTTTTTGAATAATATTTCTTTGTTTCATCATAATGTTTACCCATTCTTCAGTTCATGGACATTTGGGTTATTTTCACTTCTTGACTATTATGAATATTCCTATGAGTATTCCCTGAACAGTGTTTTATGTGAACATATGTGTTCATTTCTCCTAAATATGTACTTAAAAGTATAATTGCTGAGTCATGGTAGTTCTGTATTTAACATTTTGAGAAACTATCAAATTGTTTTTCAAACTTGATACCCCATTTTATAATCCTATCAGCAATGTAGGAAGGTTCCAGTTTTTCCATATCCTTATCAATACTTATTATTATCTCGTTTAAGTTTAGAAGGCGTTAAATGATTTTTTGTGTATGGTTTTGATTTCTATTTCCTTAATGATTAATGATATTGAGTATCTTTTTGTGTATTTCCTTTCTAGCATCTTTTAGAGAAATATCTGTTCAAGTCCTTTCCCATTTTTAACTTGAGTTATTGTCTTTATTATTTAGTTACAGCAGTTCTTTTTATATTCAGTATACAAGCCTCTTATTAGATATGTGATTTCTAAGTATTTCCTTTTTAGAAAATAAAATGACTATTTTATTCTACATGATGTCTTTGAAAACAAAAATTTTGTTTATTTTTTTATTGAGGTAATATTGGTTTCCAGCTCTATATGTGGTTCAGAGGCGGATGTATGTCATCACACCACATCCTGCACCAAAACGCCCTTAGTCCCCCATCTTAGCCCATTGTGCACCCTCCCCATTCCATCTTCTCCCCTCCCGCTCCTGTAGCCTCAGTTCCATATTCAGATTTCTAGGGTTTGTTATTGATTTGGTTTTGTGTTACGCTTTGTTTTGTGAAGCACAAAAGTTTTAAATTTTGAAAAAATCCATTTTATCTATTTTTTCTTTGGTTGGTTGTGGTGTCATAGCTAGGAAACCATTGCTTAATGTGTGCTCAAAATATTTCCTCCTATGTTTCCTTCTAAGAGTTTTTAGCTTTAGCTCTTACATTTGAGTTTTTGATTCATTGGGAGTTGAAGAGAGTGTGTGTATGTGTGTGTGTATATCATAAATATTTATGTGCTATATGTGTGTGTATATATATATGTGTATGTGTGTGTCTGTGTGTGTGTGTGTGTGTGAGAGAGAGAGAGAGAGAGAGAGAGAGAGGATTCAGCTTCATTCTTCTGTATGTGGATGTCCAGTACCATTTGTTGAGAATAATATTGTTTCCTCCATTGAATTGTATTGTTATTCTTGTCAAAATAAATTGACCATAAACAAAAGGGTTTATTTCTGGAGGCTTATTTTTAATAGACCTTTAATTTGTATTCCATATGTTTATCCTTATGGACTATACTATTTTGATTATGGTAACTTGATAGTAAATTTTGAAACCAGGAAGCCTGAATCCTTCAACTTTCTCCTTTAACAAGATTTTTTGGGGTATCCTGGATGACCCTACATTGCATGCATTACCTGTGAAATTTAGGATCAGCTTGTCAATTTCTGGAAAAAATTTTCCACCTGATATTTTAGTACGAACTGCTTTATCTCTGTATAATACCATCTTTAAATCAATGAGAGTGAGACGTATTTAGGTTCTTTAATTTCAACATGTTGCAGTTTTCAGTGTACAGGTCTTACATATCTTTTGTTAAATGTGTTCCTAGGAATTTAGTTCTTCTAATAGTATGGTAAGTGAAATTGTTCTCTTTATTTTTGAATTGTTCATTGCTAGTATATAGAAATACAATTGCTTTTCTTAGGTTGATCTTGTATCTTGCAACCTTGTTGGACTCATTTATTAGTTCTAATAGTTTTTTTTTTAATTTATTTATTTATGCAACCAAGAGCTGGGGTACAGGCCAGAAAAGGGGGGGTTGAGAGGATTCACCAGAGACAGAGTGGGGAGCAGAACAGGCAGATTGACTGAAGTACACTGCTGAGCGGAGCAGCGGGCGAGACAGGAGAGGTCTGCTGTGCCATGTGGGTTGTTCCCTGGCCAGCCAGGGATGGAACTCATGCTGCAGAGGCTGTGGATTGCTTCATAGTGCAG